TAACAACTGACCTGACGTAGAGTACAAACAAAAGCGGAAAAAAATGAGAAAACACAATGAGATTTTGGCTCGCCGGCTGATTTGAAAACGTAAGCGTGCGTGAGGGGAGATAAAATAAAAACAAGAAAACAGAAAGCAAAAAAACAGTGGCATTGGCACAGAATAGCAAAATAACAAAATAGCAAAATAGCGGCGGTTTTAAATAAAACTATAAACTATATCTAGCTCTATATACGCTCGCACAGCTCTTGGCACTCGTTCGAGACATTTGCCAATTCGGCCATTGCGGGCAGGAAAGTGAAAGCGGGCAGCTAGACAACAGATGTCCTCAGTTGGCAGGCGAAGTGCACTCTGCATTCTGCAGTCTGCAGACTTATGCAATGGAAGCTCTACACTACGATTTCGAGGAACTTAACTCACCCATTGCCGTTGATTTTGTGATTGTTGGAGGAACGCGCTGGAGTGGCCATCGTGCGGCGACTAATGTTGCTCGGGGACGTTGCGATAAGTAGTTTCCAAACGCGCGCAGGGCCGCGAGATGGGAGCACAGCTTTTAATATGGCTAAAATGTTTTGTTTATGTCTGCCGCTTGTTTATCACTAGCTGCCAATGTGCGTTGTTTGCATTTATCACTCGACTTCGATCACTGCCGTACGAGAATTTCCGCCAGCGTCGGTGTCCACTTGTTCTGCCTTCGAGCAGCGCCACGAGATTAATGACGGCGGTGCAAAACCTACGGTTATTAAATAGTTTTTGCTCAGTGCCTTACCACTCTCTTTTACACCCGCAGTCTCAGTCTCACGGCAACGTTACATATCCAAAAGTGAGATATCAACGGCACTGAGAGCGAGCGGATGTGCAAAAACTCGTATACATATATCCGAGAGCAGTACACTGTCAGGCATGAGGGGTACATAAATCGATTAAATGGTTGATTAATATAAAGTTTTAATTTATGATTTGTTAACTCGAGCGTTTTATACAAGGGCAACTTAATTGATTACATTTTTGCAGTAACTTTTGACCAAAGGTATGCTAAAAGATTTATTAATTTTTAACACATTAATAGTTCTTAGTTTTTAATGGGAATTGTAATTTAGCTGTCTTTATTATAATGAAAATTATATATAATTATTTATTATTTATTTGTTGCCAATTGTTTAAACCCTTTTTGTGGCTATGTATAAGTGACAGCTGTTGGGGAACGTGAGCGCACAGCGTGCTCGTGGTTCTCTTTCTGTGATAAAAAGCCACTCACACACACACCGTCATGTGTGTGGGGGAGAGGAAATTTAGTCCGATCGTGCCTTTTGTGTGTGTGTGTGTGTGTGTGACGTGCGTCACGAGTACAACAGCCGGCACTCTCACTCTCCCTATCCACTCTCTAGGCACACTTCTCTTCCTCGATTCGCGAACTTTGGCTTCGCTTTTTCCCCTCCCCACATGCCGCCCCTTTGGTCGCACCTTTCTTCTCTTTTTGTTGATGCAATTCACAGGTGAATTGTAAAAGTGACGTGTTGACAGCAAAAACTGCTACCGGCAAAACAGAATGTTTAAGAACCTAACATGGGAGTGTATATTGAGTATGTTTGTCGCATATTTGAATCATTTCCAAGGTGCCCTTGCCAAGTTTGCTACCCTTTTGCCAGTCAAACCTGTTCCAAAAATTGTGCGAGCTGCGAGTCTGCGAGTCGGGAAACTGCCAAGTTTCGCCTAAACAACAGCACGTTTTCATCTCGAAATACCAATGACCTTCGGCTGTGACCTCTGGGCAATCACTCGGGCAGACACACACTCACAATTGCAGCACCAGCACGTCGTTGAAAAGAGACATCAGATAAGCGATACTTATCGTATCGGAACAAGGGGCCAACAACTCCATTACCAAGCGGGACTTGCATTGATCACGAACTAAATATAGGCATCAAAGGGTTCCGCAAAGTTCGATCAAATCCAGTAATTCGGAGTTTCTTCCCCTTTTAATTTCGAAATCAAACGGGTTTTTGAACACACAGACAGGCGACGCATACTTGAGGATGTGTAGATAAAAACTCGTATGTATGGGGGGCTCGTCAAGCACACACAATCACAAACCAACATATGTACATTTATGTCTGTACATATGTGAATTTAGGTTTATTTTTATGTTTTCAAATGATTTTGCTTTGCGCGGATAAACTGTTCTCATTTCATAAGAATAGTTTGATTTTCATGTGACGTACAACAGGGCGTATGAGCGATAAGTTGATCTGACATAATCCGCTAGCGCTGCTCACTTTTCCTTTCGACATCAAAGCAATTTCCACCCATTCTTAATGCCAAGTTGATTGCCCTAGGCCACTTAAGGCTCAATTGGAGCTCGACACTTTGAGAAAATCCAGCGGTCAGTCCAGCAATTGAAACCAATTGAATCAACTTGTCCAGTTAGTGACCAGATTTACACTTGCCTCAGGGAATGTCGCCCAAAATGGAGGGCGGAAACGTTAATTTAATCGTGTTAATTTATATTCCACAGCCAATGAAAACATCTCGAAATTAAACGACAGTCCCAGGCAAGTATGTTGATGGCGCAGCATTCCAGAAGGTCACAATGTTATGCCAATTGAGCAATAAAACCAAATGGGAAAGTGTAAACAAAGTCAACTTGTTTGGCCCGCTTATCTGCGCAGTGCACGTTTCGGGGGCTCGTCAATGGGAAGGAGTGCATTCTGCTTGAAAGATATACAAAAGATTAGATTCAGATGACGACATTTTAAGCTAGAATGCATCATCCACTATGAAATTTGAGATAAAACAAGTCGGAAATTTCATATATACTTGGTTTGTAAGGATTGTAAGGCTTTAAGGATGTGGTTTTTGGCCTTACAAACGTATAACTGTGATAAATATGTATAGGAAAGTAAAGAATAATAACTAATTCACCTTTGTCTATAAAGGATATCCGGTATATTTGTAAGCCTTGCACATTATCCAAGAACTTATGTAGGAAGGCGTGCTTTAGAAATATAATAAAAAAATTATTTGCCAAAAATGGTTTAGTAATACTGAAAAATTATTATTTTTTATCCCATTTCCCTTTTAAACAAAGTCTAATCATTATGTCTAAAAGAAGCGATACTTTTTGGTACGCCTAAAACTGAGCCATAGAAAAGAAAGATAGTTACTTCGTAAATATAGTATTGTAGTGATACGTTCCAAAGACCTGGAGAATAGTACTACTTATATTACCTATAAATGATAATCTGAGCTTACTGTACTCTTTACATCTAAATTCATTGGCTTAAGTTAACATTAAGAACTCTGTAGACACTTCTTTCATCCCCTTGCCTGCTTTATATGTACATACGTATGACTGTATTTATGATGCAATAACCCGGCAAGTGCAAACCAAGGCGTAATATGAACTGTTAACTTCGGAGTTAACAGAGAAAGTAAACATTCTGTAAGTGAAATTGTTTGTTTACGCGTCGTCTGGCACTGACACTGAGTGGGGGACGCGTGTATATGTTCAGATGTCTGCAATATAAATACACCAAGCTGCAGGGCATGAGCAATTGATCAGCTATTATCACAAGACAATTTGGCACAGCGAGCGGTATTTGGGAACACAAATAGCCTGAATTGTTTATTTAATGCAAGTCTTAGTAGCCGCCAACTTCTGCGCATGCACAATTCAAGTTAACGAGTGTGCGACCAGCCGGCGACGCGAAGCCAAAGCAACTGACATTGAAACCGGAAAATGGAATCCAAGGAGGCAGGCACAATGAAGAAGTGACGCAGGAAAGATGATAGGTCGCGCACCCATGTCATAGGGTGGTTTGCCCAAAACGAGAAGCAGAAAGACGCGGCGTCGCGACGTCTTTCAAATTGGCGCCCCAAAGTATGCTTCAATATGTCGGGCCAAAAGAAGTATTCTTAAAACATGTGAGAAAACAATTTAAATATATAAAGTGACCGAATGGAAAATCAATTTATAGTGTCCGCTGTTTTCGATTATGTCAACATTAAATATTCATACTCTTTCTGTGAAGTCATTGGAAGTGGCGACTCCTGGTGCCCTGGTTCAGCTGGGCATGTGACAACACAACACAAAACTGGCACATGACGCCGTGAATAAGTGACGACAACAACGTCCAAGCATAGCCGAAAGAGAAATCGAAAAATTAAAATAAATACGGTAACGAATAGCTATTGCTCTAGAGAATAAATATCTTCTATGAATATCATTTCTTGGGCAAAAACAAAAACGGATAATTAAAACATATAGAGTTATTATCAGTTAATATGAAGTATATCTTAAAAAGGTAAAACCCTTTAGGTTTCTTGTTAACTGCAGGTCTTATACAATTTTATAAATACAGTATTAATTTAGCATAGTCACTTAAATCTATCCCTGACTAAGTTAATGCCTGAAACTAATATAACCTTAGACAGAGCATATTTGAATTGAAAAGCTTTGTGCTAGTTTTGATGACATCAGCAGTAGCTTTTGCCAAGCTGAGTCACAAAGGTGCTAAGCTATAATATGTTAACTAAGGTTTGAATACCCTTACACCAAAAGGAATCTACTACTATAGTTTCTAGTATTAAACATTTTAAATATATTTAAACTTCGAGAGAGAAATGCATTAAAAATTATACTTGATTATTATTTTATATTTTAGTTTAGAAAATTGTAACCCAGAGAAAATCGCATGTATTTTGTACTTTATCTATCGAATATTACATATTACTGTTGAATTAAATCATGAACAATTTCTACTTATTTGCATAATTAATTCCGAATTCCTCGGATGATATGGTCTATAATTATGCCTCAGCGTTTAAGCTAAGGCAAAAACAGACATACTCTGCCCCGATATAGTTTCTATTTTGGTCAGGTACAGTCGTCTACTTTCTAGACAGACACCGATCTCTCAGTGGCAATAACGCTCAAAAGCTTGCCGAGCTTTGGTTCTCCCATAGACCCTCTCATGGTCGGACGGTGCTTACTTCGCCGGTATTTGGGTTCCATTTCGGCAGTTTTATTCAGAATCTCAGTTAGCGAACAACGTTAAGTGGAAAGCAGCAATCATGCCAATTGGTGAGTCCCGTCCCCAGAGTGGGTGGAGTGCCCTGAGCTGTTGGATAATGGAATAAATCATTGGGAAAGCGGGGCCGGAGGAGAAGAAAAATAAAGAAACAAAACTTTTGGCCCACGACCAAAATTGAATTGTGTCAACATATTCCTAGAACCGCAAACATTAAAAGTAAATAAATTAGATATATTCTTCATCGGGAGCGAAGAACTGGTGCTGCTATATGCAAAAACATACACTGCACCTGCTGACGCCGTCAGCAACTTTCACCGTGTGATCATCTAAAAGCAATTAACGGTTATTCACAGGTAGCATTTAAATTGTCTGCTGCCTTTTTAGTGCTATTTATGACCTATTAAATTGATTTTCGATGTGGTCATGCCACCAAACTGTCCGAAATGTGTATCAGCAGCCGTGAGTCAGCCGTGAGTCTACGCCTTGAACTCTGGCAATAATCAATAAGAACGCGAATCCGGTGACCCGAGGGTCACCGAGGGAAGATGCGCCGCAAATGATGTCATGCGAAAAATTTGCAGCTTGGGAAACAATTCGTGTACTCTGGCGAAACAGCAAACACAAACATATACCCATGGAGGTCTCCATAGTTAAATGTTTGACGCTCGAGAGCCGGGCTCAAGCCCGCGAAACTTGAATGCGAGCTTGAGTGGAATTTTCTGAGCGCTGGAATAATTTGTAGCAAAGAACTGATGGCGATCAAAATGACATCATGCGAACGGCGCTAATAAACAAGCGAGAACAAAAACAGACGCTAAACATTATGATATATATCCATTTGTATGTGTAGTATCTAGATATGGACGGAGAAACATATAAATAGCAACGAATTCTAACAAGTTCGAGTTGTTTTTATGACAACATTTTCCCTGCTGCGGTTCCTCTGAGGGAGATTCCTGAGGCTGATGGTTCAGACCTCAGAACTTTCCCACCGTGTACAGTTGCCCCAAAAACTTAACAAATTCTTCGTCTTCTTTACAGAAATCAACACCCCCGATAAGTTGGAGTACCAGTTCTTCCCGGCCAGCGGAGGAGTCTTCACCTTCAAGGTACGCTCTCCCAAGGATGCCCATCTGGCCCTCACCTCTGCCCCCGAGGAGAATGGTCCCATTTTCGAGATCTTCCTGGGAGGATGGGAGAACACCAAGTCGGTGATCCGCAAGGATCGCCAGAAGCCCGAGGTGGCTGAGGTTCCCACTCCTGGCATCCTCGATGCCGGCGAGTTCCGCGGCTTCTGGGTGCGTTGGTACGACAATGTCATCACCGTGGGCCGTGAGGGCGATGCCGCTGCCTTCCTGTCCTACGATGCCGGCAGCCTGTTCCCAGTCAACTTTGTTGGCATCTGCACCGGGTGGGGTGCCAGCGGCTCCTGGCTGCTGGATGGTAAGTTTCTCTCGTGATATTCGTCTAAATAATAGCACAAGTGTTTTGTTACTTGATTAGTTTACATTGATAAGCACATTAGAAGTATTATAATGCGGCTAAACTATTTGATCTTCTCTATATGTTATTTATCTATACACTTTGTTTAAATACTTCATAATTTCGTAAAAAGATATATTGGAAATTTTACCGAATATCCTGTCAAGAAATTTGTTTCTGAAAAAGTAATTTTCAAGATTCTACAAATAATAAATAATGGATTGGCTTGGTGGTTTCTATAAATGTAAACGACTTTTATAAATATTATTTCTATTCTATAATCTAACTTCGTGAAAAATAACCCAAAACTAATCCTTCCTCCTTTTCGCAGATGCCGCTCCCTCGGCCCCTGTCATGGGCTTCTCGGCGCCAACCTGCAGTGGTCCCGGATGCTGGGTAGCCGCCGCCAACGGAGAGGTGCCTCCCAACGCTCTCGAGGGTGGTTTCGACAGCAGCGAGCAGCTGTACATCGCCAGAGCCCGTCACGAGGGCGACCTCATTCCCGGCAAGCTGCACCCATCGCACGGCGTCACCTATGTGGCCTACGGAGGCGGTGAGCACGGACATGGCGAATACGAGGTGCTCTGCGCCGCTGGCGGCCATTGGGTGCCCGTGGAGGCCGGCAACATTCCGCCCAACGCCCTGCCCGCTGGCGAGACCGCCGAGGGTGAGCCGCTGTTCATCGGCCGTGCCACCCACGACGGCACCATCACTGTGGGCAAGGTGCAGCCCTCTCATGGCTGCTGCTACATCCCATACGGCGGCGAGGAGCTGGCGTACAAGGAGTTCGAGGTCTACGTGGCCAACTAAGTCCTACTCTGGGATAAGACACAACGCACTGAAACCACAATTGTTAATCTGAGCGCTTTACAGTTCAACTGGTCGCAGAAATTTTATTTATACTTGCATTTTTACTCAATACTGTTGAAGAATCTCTTTCTAATTGAAGCCGAAAAGGTTATTATTTTGTTCACCCGAATTGGTAAATAAACGATATGCTTAAGAAATCACCAATGGAACCTGGAATTTCAATGGAAACTCTGCTGTGTGTGTTCTGTAAGGAATGAAACCTTATACTACTAGATTATGCTGCTTTATAGAAAAGGGTGGGGCTTATTTTGCTAGGCCTAAAAGTAGACAATAAAAGGAAGTATTAAGGCTTATTAGGCTTTACCAAAATCTGTATTCCAAGATATATATATCACTAAAGTTAAGATCTAATATATTTGAGGGATATCAGAGAGAAGTTTCCAATGAAATGGCCTGATTTCAATAATTATTTTCTCTAGATTAACATCAGCCGAAATATATCTAGTAAGATCATTTGGATAACATTATAATTATAGTTAAATTACAAGGATGTTTACTTGTAAACAACCCCTTAAGCTAATTTTATTGAAAATATCATCAATCGTTCTTTATTTATTAAACTCATTCTCCATGCTATCTTGAAGAGTATATGATTGGAATTAGGGTTATGGCCCATTCAAAGTAATTTACTTCTACTCAATGAAAATCTTGTTACCTTCTTGAACACGTTATCAGTACACTTAAAGGCCCCATAAACAGAACCTAAAAATAAATGCAAATTACAAAATCTTTTGCAAAGATCAGGCAGAGGTTGCATGGTACTAGACATTAAGCAGCCAAAATATATAATAGATTCCAGATTTAATAACCGAAATCTGGACTTGATATTAGGGCAGTATAAATATTAAAATTTAAAGCAAGAAGCAAGCAAGGAAGCCTCCATAAATATGCCAGACAGGTGTGGAGTGGAGAGTTATCGCCGTAAGTGATAAGGATAATGATAAGGCGCGAGGGTAAGGGTATAAATACTCCGAAGGAATGAGACTGTATCATCATTTTTCGAAATGGCAAAACTATTGGCATTACTCGCAGTCCTCTGCCTGAGCCAGGTGATCGGTGCTGAACGTAAGTATAGCCTTGGAGGAGGATAAGTCTGGAGAGCACCAACCTAACACCATGTTCCCGTTCCTCCGATTCCAGGCATCGTCAACTGCTACTGGGGCACCTGGGCCAACTACCGCAGCGGCAATGGCAAGTTCGATGTTTCCAATATCGATGCCGGTCTGTGCACCCATCTGAGCTACTCTTTCTTCGGAATCAACGACAACGGTGAGATCCAGTCTCTGGACACCTGGCTGGACTACGACCTGGGTTTCATCAGCCAGGCCGTGGGCCTGAAGCACCAGAACCCCAGCCTTAAGGTCCTGGCCGTGGTCGGTGGCTGGAACGAGGGCTCCACCCGCTACTCCTCGATGGCCGGTGACTGGTACAAGCGCCAGAACTTTATCAACTCTGCCCTGAACTTGATCCGCAACAATGGATTCGATGGCTTGGACCTTGACTGGGAGTACCCCAACCAGCGTGGCGGCAACTGGAACGATCGTGCCAACTTTGTGACCCTGCTGCGTGAGCTGAAGGAAGCGTGAGTCTCGGATAGTGCCAGTAGTTTAATGGTCCTGAAAATAATTGATTTGCTTTCTTAGCTTCGCTCCCTATGGCTATGAGTTGGGTATTGCTGTGGGAGCCGGTGAGTCGCTTGCCACTGCCTCCTACGAGATCGCCAACATTGCCCAGCATGTCAACTTCATCAACGTGATGACCTACGACTTTGCCATGGCCTCCGATGGCCGCACCGGCTTCAACTCCCCCCAGTGGGCTGTGGAGAATGCCATTAACTTCTGGATGAGCCAGGGTGCTCCGGCTAACAAGCTGGTCCTTGGTGTCGGTACCTACGGACGCTCCTTCCAGCTGTCGGACTCTTCCCAGAACTGGCCAGGTGCCCCGTGCCGTGGAGAGGGCAGTGCTGGCTCCTACACCGGCTCCACCGGCTATCTGGGCTACAACGAGATCTGCCAGAACAACTGGCACACCGTGTTCGATTACGACAATGCCGCTCCCTACGCCTTCTCTGGCGACCAGTGGGTGAGCTTCGACAACGTGCTTAGCGTGCAGTACAAGATGGACTTCGCCCTATCCAAGGGTCTGGCTGGAGCTATGATCTGGTCTCTGGAGACTGATGACTACCGCGGACACTGCGGCGAGACCTATCCCCTGCTGAAGACCATCAACAGGAAGCTTCGATGGGTTTAAATTTGGTAACAAGTTAAAATGCAAGCAATGACATTACTTTTTGTGAGTGTTTTGTTGTTTCGGTTAATTCTCGAAAAGAAAAAACTGTGGCCAAAATAAAAAAGTTTTGTAAAAAGATACTAGCGTTTTTTTATTTAATTATTTTGAACGAGCAAGCTATGGAGTTTGGACTATGGCAGCAGAGGCCTTCAGTTCATGTTTTGAAAAATATTTATTATTTTCTTATTTATGTTTAGGGAAGGTATAATTATATACATATGTGGGATGTGTGGGATTTGAAAGGAACGCTAGCATATCGGGCTTTAATATTTAAATAACAAAACAATTGTTGAAAAATTCAGTTATATATTTTGAAAAAAATTTCTTCACATTATATTCTTTATTGATTAAGATTGTGGTTGCAGAAATATATGACTTTCGGCAATCATTGGCTTTTTGGCCTACAAAATATGTGTATTGTAGGTTAATATATTACAAGCGATATTTTTATATGCTTTCTCTTCGCTTTAAACTAAATTTAGCATACATGGCGTATACTTAACGTGAAAACGCTTAAATTAAGTATACGCCATGTGCGTCTTAAGGGAGAATAAATTACAAATTTATAAAAGTGTGTAACTCCAATTAAGAAGCAAGCTTGGCAATTCAATCATAAGTTCGAATCGGAAATCGATCATAACTAAGCTTCAAATTCCAATTTTTTCGACAAAACACAGTTTAAAAAACTCAAACCTCAGCACAAAAGTGTATTGGTTTTAATTCGTAAAGCTGTTCTATGTTTGTTTAAATGCTCGCACAATTGATTTTAGACCCAGGCCTGATCCCTCCTATATATTATATATTTTTAAGTAATATAATAGTAATTGTTAAGACTTACCGCAGTAGAGGACACACTGTTATCCTTTATGGTCATTGCTTCACTCTTTCCAGTATTCTTGGTGACTTCAATTTAGTTTTTATCTTCTTCCTGCTTATCCAAAATTATTGCAATGGCCAGGTGATATTTTTGGGGTCGGAGGGCAATCACGAACACTATCACTATAGATGTAAACACTGGAGCGGCCACGGACAGAATGAGGTCAGCTCGACGGCAGTGCCAGTATTTATAGTCTCTGAGTAAAGAGAACAGAGAAAGTGAAAGCGAGAGAAAAAGAGATACGCACAGAGAGAGAGAGAGTGAGTGAGAGAAAGAGGAAACTACCAAAAAGAGGGAGAAAAACAGAGAAATGCTGGGAATTATTTATTCAAATCCTTAATCTGTTAACAAAATGTTACAGAAAGTCCACTGCAATTCGGAGCTGGTGATCCAGTCAAGCATGGGGGCAGTTCATAATGAAAAAACTGATTACTTGAGCTTGTTGGAATTAAGACAGTTTGAAAATAACAATAACCTAATAAGTCAGAATATTATAAGTTAACGCACCCACAACTTTGCCATACCCGAGACGGGAACAATGTTGGACCTTGTTATTTCATGACAAGCGGTTGGAAATGAAAGTCACAAAGGGTCTTTTAGAAAAAGGAAAACAATGTTAACAACTTTCTTTATTTGATTTTCGTCACCTGATAAAAGCATTTCTAGATATCATTTTTATTATTTGTCACTCAATTTCGACTAAATTGGTCTTAGTAAGTAATTGCATTGAACATGATTGAATACTAAGAAGACCCTGCCAAGTCTGCTATGAAAACACTTTGTGTTTTTATACGATAAAGAGGACTAGTCAGGGATAAGACTATTTTTCATATTAAATCATCAAAAGAAATGGTGTCACCTCCTATAATTTTCCTAGTAAATGTTGATTGTATTTACTGTTTACTTGAGAAGAGCTTTTAGGAGTAGCTGGCAACCGATTTGAATCATCAACATCCGGGTCGACGACACACCACAACTTTGCGGGGGGTACTTTGGGAACACATCTTAACCCAATCTCAAGATGCACTCAAAAAATGACGACCAAATATTAAAATTTATTAGCATAATTAAACTATGTGGAGTGGAGAGATAAAAACCATTGAGGAATTTTTGATCGATGCAATATATTAGACTTTTGTTTTCTATTTCTGCAATTTCTGCGATTTCGTTGGCTAAGTGGCGACTTATCAGCGCTGCGGTGTTAAACAAATATGTGTAATAATTCATAATGCGAACGATAAGGCTTCGCCGGGAATCGGCCTATATAAACGCGGTCCCGGAAGGCCCGAAGCTATTGAGAAGTTCAACCGATTGGCTGCACCATGAAAACACTCTCCATTTGGGCTTTGGCAGCACTCTGCCTCTGCCTGGGCCAAGTGGCCTCCAGCGAAAGTGAGTGACGGATAAACCTTGGCTAGTCCTCAGATTAACATTTGCTTCCCATAGAGCTGATCAACTGCTATTGGGGCACCTGGGCCAACTACCGTCCTGGCGATGGCAAGTTTGTTCCCTCGGACATTGATCCCTCCCTGTGTACGCACATCAGCTATACCTTCTTTGGAATCAGCGATGCTGGCGAGTTCAAGTCTCTGGACACCTGGCTGGACATGGACGATGGACTGGGTAATTTCAGAATATTGATGGTTCAGGGATTTCCAAAGCTCAAACCCGATACATTTCCATAGGCTTCATTAGCCAGACTATTGCTCTGAAGCAGCGCAATCCCAACCTGAAAATATTGGCTGTGGTTGGTGGCTGGAACGAGGGGTCTGCCAAGTACTCGGCCATGGCTGCCGATCCCGCTAAGCGAGCGACCTTCGTCTCCACCACTCTGGCCTTCATCCAGCAGCATGGCTTCGATGGCCTTGACTTGGATTGGGAGTATCCTGGTCAGCGTGGAGGCAGCGATGCAGATCGCGAGAACTTTGTGACCCTGCTGCGCGAGATCAAGGAAACGTAAGTGAATCTCGAAAGAGGAACAATGGATTGACTGAGATTCATTTAACATCCACAGCTTCGATAAGCACGGATTGGAGCTGGGCATTGCTGTGGGTGCTTCTGAGAAGTCGGCTAGCATTTCCTACGACATTCCTGCCATTTCCCAGCATTTGACTTTTATCAATGTAATGACCTACGACTTCCACATGGCCTTCGATGGATACTTGGGTTTAAACGCCCCTCTGCCCGAGGTTACCGAGTCCATTGACTACTGGCTGTCGCATGGTGCGTAGAGGAAGTCCTAAATCCCTGAGCTCCATTGCCTTATCTCCGGTCTTTCCAGGTGCCCCGGCCGAGAAATTGATTCTTGGCATTGGCTTCTATGGCCACAGCTACCAGATGGCTGACAGCTCCAAGAACTGGCCTGGAGCCGAGTGCATAGGCTCTGGATCCGCTGGCCCGTACACCCGGGAAAGTGGTTTCCTCGGTTATCATGAGATCTGCTTGAACAACTGGGAGACTGTCTTCGATGCAGAGAACGGTGCGCCCTATGCCTTCCAGGGTGATCAGTGGATCGGCTATGACAACGTTCAGAGCATCCAGATGAAGATGCAGTTGGTGGAGTCAAGAAATCTGGGCGGTGCAATGATGTGGTCCATCGAGACGGACGACTTCCGGGGCCTTTGCGGAGAATCCTATCCCCTGCTGAAGACGATGAACCGCGCTCTGGGCAAGGACGTGAGCGGAGGAGGTGGCAGTGGAGGTGGAGGTGGAGGAAGCGGAGGTAGTGTCACTGCTGCTCCTACACCAACACCCAATCCGGGTGGCAACGGCGGCGGCAGTGGTGGCAACGGAGGTGGCTCCAGCGAAAATTGCTCTGAAAATGGCTACTTCATGCACAGCAGCGACTGCAATAGGTATTACCAGTGCGTTGACGGTATCCGCTACGACTTCCAATGCGGGCAAGGATTGTACTTCAATTCGCTTACCACGAATTGCGACTGGGCGGCGAATGTCGCTTGTCCCTACTGAACATAGAGCATTTAAAAATATACCAAAGATTGCAAAAAAACTATCAATTATGTATATCAATTAATCATATAAAATCAAATTTATTACTGATTGGATTTAGATTATATTTCGATTTGGATTTAACGCTCAAATAATAATATTTACAACTCGAAACTTAGTCACGGTGATCAGATATAAAAGGTAAATACAAGTGAATCAGTTCAAATATTGCAATATTGATAGCGATAACGAAAATGTGGTAATGTTAAGAAAGACCCGCCATTTGAAGGCACCATTAGTCAAACAAATTCTTTTTAAGTTTATATCATTGTCTTTGAATAACACATTTTGAACTGTGGCTATATATAATAATAATAATAATGAATTAAAAGATAAATTTACAATGAAAAATCAAATACGATTGGATAATAAACACAGGGGTTATGCTATAAGAAAGTTTAATTATTTTATTTCTAGGTCTCACAATTCCGCACACACAACTCTAACTATTTACTTTACTTTGTTAAAGCATACAAAGCATATTTGTTTAAATAAATATAAATCAAGTTACCTTTCCCTTTCTAAGGTCAGTTTCCTCAAACTCCCTCTACAAATAGAACTCCAACTTAACAAACACACGGAACTAGAAACATCTTAGTCTTTCTGGAATTATACCTAAAATATTGACAGACGCAAGGATATGATCTTGTTTAAATTTCCAAAAACGTTCGGTTGTGTATGCGTCTCATAAAAATTTTTAGTTGAATTAACTTATAGATTTCATCCCTTTCGGGATGGCGTCCTTTGCCGTTGTTTTTACGTCCGCAATTTTTCTGATTGTCAGTTGCGCCGCAAAGCAGTGTGAGTAAAACCTTACTTAAAACTCTAGAAATGTGAAGTAAAGAAGGTTTTTTCAGATAACATATTTTGCCAATATGATTTGAATTCTTATTATTATAAGAACATGAGTACGTTCTACTCGTGGCACATCGATACTAGACTATGTACGCATCTGGTTCTTGGTTCGGGAATCGGTGTGGATGAAGAATCTGGAGCGCTAAAGATAAAAAACAAGGATCTCCAGGAGAAGGGTGAGTAGTTCCTGATGGAATTTCTTTGGGTTTATGTCCGGTCCAGAATTGAACTGTCTTTTAAACTGTTTAAAATACATTTTCGTTTACTTTCAGATCTTCTAATCCACGGCGATAAACTGAAGTCCGATAACGTCCAAAAGGTGATTATATCTGTAGGCGGCTTTGACGAAGACTCCCGAATATTTTCCAAAATGGTGGCCTCTGAGAACAATCGAGAAGAATTCACAAGCTCTTTGGTAACTTTCATGTTGCAAATGGGTTACCAAGGGGCTCAGATCGACTGGCGTTATCCCACGCAACGCGGTGGCCAGCCGGAGGACGTCTCGAATTTCGTCCTCTTTCTAGAAGAACTGAGCTTGACGTACGTTTGTGCAGCATAACCTGGGGTAACGAGTAACTATAGTAATTTAACCATTTTTTTATAGCTTTCGGGAACATAAGTTCCTATTGATGGTTGTGGTGCTGGGCAGAACCGACAAACAGACACTGGAGAGCTATAATATACCCGGAATAGTAGAAAACGTGGACTTCATTAATCTAATGGTGGACGACGAGCGAGACAAGTACCGCAAGCGCCTAAGCTTCATCTCTCCTCTTTTCGGAGGTACTAACAGCGTGGCCGCTGCTGTCAAGCACTGGAAGAGGGCGGGAAAGGATTCGCACAAGATCCTCCTCAACATCCCATTTTTCGGCCGCTCCTACACCATGGACAAGAACCAGTCCGCCCTGGGGTCGCCCTGTAATGGACCCGGCCTGCCGGGGAGAAATTCCGGCATTGTCGGCTTCACGACCTTCAACGAGTTTTGCACCCAAGCATCGAAATGGTCCAAGCACTTCGACAAGGTGGCCAAGGTGCCCTACGCCACCCGTGGCGATCAGTGGCTGACCTACGAGAACTCGCACAGCATTTGGGCAAAGATGCACTTTCTGAAGAAGAACCAATTGGGTGGCGCCATGGCCTGGACAATCGATGCGGACGACGCATTTGGCGTATGCGGAATTCGCTTCGGTTTGCTGAGTAACATCTTCTCGGCTCTGGGCGATGAGAAAATACTTACCACCCAGGCACCGACCACGGAGGCCGAAGGCTTATGCCCACGCAATGGATTCTTTCGAGACAAATGGGAATGCCGCTACTACTACGAGTGCCGCAACGGAAAACGTTTCGAGTACGAGTGTATATACGGTCAGTTCTTCGACGAGGCTAAGGGATTCTGCCGACGCGCTGAGGAGGTCACATGCAATCAGGACTTTGTCATTTGGCGACCGGGCATGCCTGGTTACAGCTACGAGAACCTCCCGTTGAACCTCAAGGTCGTTGAATAGGCTTCAAATATAAAAGAATTAACGATTTGCGGTTAAGCACTCAAAGGTGAACAGTTTACTGAGTCGGAATAATTGCAGCTACTGGTGGTTAGATCAAAGTTCAGTCCACTGGGGCAGTCGAACCTGTGGGTATTACCCCCGCTGCAGTAGTAGAACTTAGAGCAGTTCTTCGGATCGCGGACATAACCAAGAGGTGCGTCTGCCGGGCAGCTGAACGTTTTACTGGGCTGGTCTTCATTGGACTCTGTAGTTAGTCCAGTGGGGGTGCCGCTACCAAAGAGCACGCGGTTGATCTCGTTTAGCAGCGGATAGCGCTGCTGGCCACAGGTTCCACGGAAGTCATCCGACTCCAGAGACCAGATCATGATGCCCCCCAGTTGGTGCTGCATCACGAACTGAGCCTTCAAAGAGAGACTACGCATGTCTTCGTACCCCACCCACTGTCGCTCCCTGAAGGCGTAAGGCACCTGCTGATCCGGCTCCCATTTCTGCGTCCATTCCTCCTGCCCCATCTTTTCGCACAGCTCGTTGTAGCCCAGCACTCCAGGTTCACGGGAATATTTTCCAGCTATTCCCTTTCCTATGTGCGGTGATCCCGGCTCATGGCCTTCGGCAGTGGTCAGGGTAAAGGTGCGTCCATAAAAGGGAACACCGAGCACCAGTTTTTGTGCAGGTGCACCCGCCTGCAACCAGTACTTGACAATGGCGTCCACGTTCAGCTGCTGCTGCCGCCCGGTGGAATCGGTTGCGTCGCTGGCCGAGCCATACAATGGGGCATTGATGCCCACCACCTCATCCCAAGGTCCGTGTAGGTCATATGCCATGACATTGATAAGATCCAAATACGGGACAATGGCTGGGATGTCGTAAGAGATCTCAGCGGAGAACTGAGCGGAACCCACAGCGGCTGTTAGCATGAAGCCGAAAGGTTCAAGCCTGAGGTAGGATAAAACAGTCAACAGAGCTACTAAGGAGTCAAAATACCCTGTGACTTACCCTTCCTTAAGGTCCTTGAGAAAAGCGATATAGTTGGAGCGGTCCTCGTTGTCTAGACTGTGACGCTGGCCTGGGTACTCCCAGTCCAAGTCCAAGCCATCGAATCCATGCCGCTGCAAGAACCTGACCACATCATCCACGAACACAGCTCGCTTCTCAGGATCGCTGGCCACTATAGAGAACTTCTTGGAACCCTCATTCCAACCACCCACAGCCACCAATGTTTTCAGTGTGGGATTCTTCAATTTAAGAGCATTGAAGTTCTTAATATTTCCCCGTCCACCGTTGTCCTCAAGATCCAAATAGGCATCTATCACCCGCAGCTTTCCTGTCTCCTCGATGCCCAGAAAAGCGTAGATCAAATGTGTGCATAGAAATGGATCAATTTCCGCCACATCGAACTTTCCGAGTCCTGGTCGGTAGACGGACCAGGTTCCCTGGTAGCAGACAACGGCCTCTGCAACAGGATTACTTTATCTGTATAGTCCTGGGGAAAATTATGCCACCACTTACTTGAAGAGTTGTTGCCTGATGCGGCCGAGGCTGTCACTATTAGGATTGCCCCTAGGAGCAGTATTACTAAACCAGTTCCGTTCCACATTTCGAATTTGCTGTCACTGAAGTGAGCCATTCCGCCACCCAGCGACTTTTATACAGGAAAGCCAGCACGATTATTGATAAGGGAGTGTAAGACAGTGTAGATGTATTTGCGAGAATTCAGCGGAGAACATACAAAAATCGAAGTGTTTGCACACTTGTTGCTCCGGAAAGCATGGCAAACAATGCCCAGCATGATACCCTCACGGGCGGGTTGAGGGCCAGCTGCTGGTCTCCAAGATAAACAATAACAACTAAGGCTACGGGGGAGCGTCTAAAACTTCTTTAGCTTTGACAACTGGTTGTTGCGACGCAGCGCCATTTTCCGGAGGCGCCGCCAGTACTGCTTCGTATTCGGATCCAGCTCATCCAGGGGGATAATGCGCTCCGTATTGAGGGTCCAAAGCCAGTCGGGGTACTCGGAATCCGGCTTAATCTGTCAGAGAGACGTATTAGTTGTGATCAAAGACTCTGGGACGGACACATCACTCACCTTGACATCCTCGCCGGTTTTAAGGTAGTTGCTTCCGCACACATAGTTCACAAGCTTGTTGGCGTCCGTTTCCACAGGAATAACCTTTTTCTCCATGATGGGACCCAGCTTGCCAAGCTTTTTCTTCTTGCCCGCTGTGGAAGCACTTATAATTGGGAATTCGGCCAAGCATTTCAATTCAGATGGGGACTAACCTGGAGCTGCCGGTTTCACAGCATAACAACGTGCCGAAGTGGCCAGTGCCGGTGCCATTAAACGCTGCCTGAACAGGCTAAGTGCCGCCGTCAAGTTACTCATGTTATATGTGTTCTGATTAGCCTTGACTGACTCTTTAATTGATAATTATTAAATTTCTAATTTATTTACAAATTTCGACTTTTGTTGTATAATCTGCCAATTGGAAATGCGGCAGCTGCTGCACAAGTCGCGTTATACGGTCATACCTTTTCTAACAGCTGATTAATCAAAACAAACAATAAAATAATATTCTTTGTGAAATATAATCCCTTTTAAAAACAGTGGAGATTCAAATGATTAACTAGGTATTAAACAAACTAGATTTTTACTTGCGTTTATGTTAATCAATTAAATATAACAAAAATTTAGAGGTGGGCGAAGACCGATATAAATAATGGGGGTGTTCTTTTGTACAGATCTTTATTAAATTTCTATCTTATTATTCCTGAGCAAAAGACCTACTGCATGCACATTTAAATTTTTATTAATTTTAAGCTTTTCCTAAGGATCTAATTTTCTTGTTCTCATTTTCTTAGTTTTTTATTTATTCAGTTAGTCAAAATCTTTGATTTATCGACCGGTGGCCACCTCTAATTGAAGACCGGCAATAATTAATATTACACAAGATAACGACAATTTAAATAATATAACAACAAAATGGTGGGACTGAGAATGCCTTCGAACCGCACACTCGGCAAAATATGTGTCTACGGTGCTGTGGCCTCCATATCTGCCGTGATGTACATGCGCTGGAAAATGGAGGATCGAGTCAAGTCGTGCGACTACTACAAACTGGCACTGAAAGGACTGCGTAGCCACCGGGGCGCTGTTTCGCTGTTGGGGGAACCTATCAAGGATTCGGGCATCGACCTGGGCAATCCCAACAACAATTGCAATGCGGAGATCGCACAATTTGAGGTTTCTGTTCGAGGCAGCAAGGATAAAGGTGAGGTCGAGATTTAACCAGTAATTGACACACACTAAACAAATCTCAATTTTGCAGGAACACTATACTTCTGGGCCTCCCATCAGCCGGATAGGGGCTGGCTCATCGATCGCCTAGAGCTCGAAACGAAACTCAATCCCGAAAAGCGGTTTCTGCTCAAGAAATCTGATGAAGAAACCAGCGATCTGCCCGAGACTGTAAGCAAACTTCCAGCGCAACACAACACCAATCAGTTGAATGGCGAACAGGGTGTAACGCAGTTAAATTAGTGGCAATATTCGATTCAATTAGTTTATTCTCATTAAATTTGACTAATTCAAGCAATCTTAAGTGTTGTATAGTTGTTATTTTAATTACAAATTTATTGTTTTTATAAAATCAAAGTCTTTTGTTATTGAAGTAAACGGTTTTTCTTAACGGATCGCTGGCTAAAATGCTCTGGGTCTTAGTTTAAGTAATATAATTGCTCTTGCCAGGTGGCAGTGCACGATCGGGAAAGCAGAAAACTTGATGGGTTCTAATAATGATACTGCTTAAAGTGGTCAAGACGCCTTCGGTTCCGAGGCTTGCCTTGATGATCTCGTGAGTTTGTGTGGGGTTCTTTTAAAATTATAAAAATACATACATTGGTGAAAGTACATGATAAAAACCGCGTTTAATGCTTTTCTTAAACGATAAAGGCGACAATTGGTGGCGATCGATGGTGTCTCGAACTCGAACGAGGCAGGAGCATCATTCACCGTCAGGCTACGGCTACAATTATCCAAATGCATGCAATCAAATCCTCTCCGATCGTAGTTAATATATATGTAGTAATGTATATGCACTTTCATCTTTCAATAACACAGTATAAATACACGCTGTATATATATATGTATGTATAGGTTCGTATGTATATAGCAAGTTACAGACATTCAATTTGTGCGGGCGCCAGCCCGCCCCTATTCGAACTCCTGCTCTTTCGGTTTGGATTTTATGTTTATGTTAATGCTGCTGATCGGTTCCTATGCTCGCTTGTCCATGGCAAGTGGAAGACTGTTGGGCCGCTTTGTCGACTGTGTCCCCTCCGCTTCCGCTTGCACCTCCTGGTCTTATTGCGTCTTCAGCTCCTTACCAATGCTGTACGAAACGATTTTGCTCCAGTCGATCTTGGTCCTCGTTATTGGGAGCTGACGGCGCATGGCCTTGAAGGTCGTGTCTGACATCGTCTGATAGTTCTCCGAAATCGCCAGTTGGTACTCGTTCTCGGCCTCCTCAATCAGACGAATCACTTCCTTGGCTAGCTGCTGCTCGCTGCTAACCACTACGCTTTCGCGGCACTCCTTCGAGGACACCAACTGCACGTTTCCGTCTTCGTAGTAGTGCACTTGTACCTTCAGCACGCCCTTCAGTTCGGCGGAGCCACTGCCTGCCTGGAAGCTGACGTGCCACTGTGAGCGCCATCGCCCGTTCCAGTAGTTCTTCGGCTGGAACTGATGGTCTTCGATGCAAATGGTTAGGGTAATCTGGTTGCCCTGCGATTTTCCAAAGACAGAGCTGACCTGCAGAGCAAATGACAGATGCATGAGAGATGGCACATAGACCGATTCACAAAGCTAACTTACCCCGTGTCTATAGTGACTGGCAGTGTAGGCTAGCGTCTCCAGGTCCAGGGCAGCTCTCCATGGTTCCGCATTGGCATCCGCCTCCACGTCCTGGTAGTCGGCGGCCTCTTTTCGTAAGTGGTCGTATTTAAAGGCCTGCTTTGTTCGCGGATCGTAAAAGCGACCATTGCCTGAAATGCAATTGGCTTATCAGTACGGACAGGCTTATTCGACTCACCATAGATATCAACGAAACCCCAAATATTTGCGCTTTGATGCGGGGGACGTGACTCATTATCGGTTATGCCCATTTATGGACAATGCTTACCGAGATCGTTGTACTCCGATATGATCGCGTTGTGCTCACTTCCTTCGATGCGGACCGGAGTCAGCTGGTCCTTGTTGTACTGTGAGAAGGCGTGGCTGGCCCCGTCCTTCAGCAGAGTGTCGTTCTTTAGCAGCTCGCGCACGTCGTTAAACACCTCGTTGAACTCGCCGGGCGGGGCGTGCAGGATGAAGTCCGACACAATGCGCACCTTATCCGCATCGGTGATCTGCGTCTGTTCCATATTTCTGCTGCTTCTCTCACTGGTGATTCACGAAACCAGGGCAGGGGCAGTGGTTTGACTGTGTCTTGCTAAGAACTCCCTGTTGTTCCTTGCCTTGCGGGTGTGGCGGTGACCAAAGTTTGATTTTGGTGGTCTGTGTGAAGTCTTGCGGTGTCGCTTTTCCCGTTCGTTAAGAGTTTTCGTGGCTTTGCAGCAAATAGTTCGCTTTTTCTCTGCAAATGGGCCAAAAACGATGACGACTCCGTGAAAGAAAAACAAGATTAGTGCTGGCAATAGAGCTGGGAAACTATCGATAGCACTGTCGAGGTATCGAATTGGTACCTTCGTGAGCCACCATCGATAATTTGTTTCTACTATCGATGGTGGAGAATTTGTTACACTAGAAAACATAGATTTTTTTGGAAGCCCCGTGTAGGAAAAACAAGAGATGTGTTTTTGCTTACTCAGGGATGACGATTTTTTTCCGATAATTTCCTTTAGTCTGTTTCTGTTGTCGGCAGAGATGCCAGCTAATATTTTAGATCAACCAGTGCTGCCAGATTCATCGACGACACGTCGTTGGTCGGTTATCGATGAATCTCTTATCGATAAACGATTAAAAGTGGCTCGAAACTCTAGTAATTCTTTAGAGTCCAGCTGTGGTCATACTGTTTTGTTTTTGGAATTGAGCGGTTGTGTCGCGCGTCGATCGCGGATTCAAAATAATTTCGGTTTGCTAGAACAGCTCCTTTTCGGTTCGAATCGAGAATACGGTTAACGCGAATTCAAATAAGAAGCATTTTTGCTAATATATTTATTTTGCATATATTTATGCTCTTAAAGTGTGCAAACGAAATACCTTCGAAAAGTGCCTTTTTACCAAGAGTCTTGGTAACACAAATACCAACGCAAGAGACTGAGGCTTAAGATAGTAGTGTGCGTGTAACCACTTTTTTACCTGGTATTACCTGTTTGCGACGCGAGCGAGAGAGAGAGAGACGGCAAACGAAAGAAGGAGAGTGCCAAAGCAGACGAGTGAAAGATAAAAGTAAACGAAAACGAAGTAGCGGGGCGGCGGCAGCAGCTGCAGCCAAATCGGAAGTACCGTCGCTACAGTCAGGGCGCGCACTGTACGCACTGCAGCATTATTTGTGTTATATTTAGGGGTTTGATTGCTCCGCACATCGATTTGTTATTGATAATTCCGCGTTGCCATGAGAATGCAGTGCAAACAAGCGGCGCGTTAGTCCCACACACACACACACACACTCAGCGGTGGAGTCACAAAGTGGAAGAGGAGGCACAGCACACGGTGTTAAAGCTAAAGGTGTGTGGAGAGCGGTGATCGCGACAGTGCGAGTTAGAGTGCTAGTGCATTAGTGTGAGTGAGCGGATAATACTGGGTGATTCACAAAGAAGTGCTCAAAAGTGCTCCAAAGTGCTCCGGCAGAGAGATGGCGCTTTGTCGCTAGTCGCTAGTTTCCACAAAAGTCCAGCGATCGCCCGGAAGCGACTGCAGCAGCAACATGTCGGCGAATCCGGCTCCAACTTCACATCGTAATCCCGCCCAGCAACAGACGCACCAGCAGCACAAGCGAAAATGCCGACAGCCCCACGTTCCCGCGAGACTGCTCCTGGCCAGTATTGTGGTGCTCGGCTTCTTGTCTCCCGCCCTCGCACTGCAATCCGCGCCGGACAGGTCGTACTCCACCGATAATCGAAAGCCCGCCTTTAAGAACTGTGCTGGCTACGCGCCGAAGGTGAAGGAGGAGCAGCCGGAGAACACATACGTCTTCCGTGTTGAGGCAGTGGACCCCGATCCCGACCAGGTCATCCGCTACAGTATCGTGCAGTCGCCGTTCGAGCGACCCAAGTTCTTCATAAATCCCAGTTCCGGCACGATTACCACCACGCACACCTTCGACCGGGACGAGCCCATCCACGAGAAGTTTGTCTTCGTCACCGTCCAGGCCACGGATAACGGCCTGCCGCCGCTCGACGACGTCTGCACGTTCAACGTCACCATAGAGGATATCAACGACAATGCACCGGCCTTCAATAAGGCTCGCTACGATGAGTCAATGTCGGAAAATGCCCAGGTAAGCTAAGACCCACATCTGTGTGGGAGTTGGCCGACTCTGTCCCTCCCTGCTGGCCAAATTCGCGGACCCGGATTACTGCGGTTTGGCCAAGGCAGTGGACTGGTGCAGGAGTGGCGTCATTTCGCTCTATCTTGCCCCCATACCCCGTGATGTCATGTACCTAAATTAATTGGCTTTATGCACTCAGAAAAACTATGTTTCTCGTAAAATTTTGTGTTTTCAATGTTTTTTTTTTTTTTTATAAACTGACTAGCTGAGTTTAGGAAATTTTTTTCCCTGAGTTTATGGGCATTTTATGGGTCATTGCCACTATCAAAATCCACCCTCCGCCCACCTGCCCGTGTCAATAAAGCGGAGGCTCCCATCTGTCGCAAGTCCTTTAGTCCAAGGCAGCTTTAATTAACCACGGGCGAACCTCCTCTTTAGGCGGAACTAGTTTTTCGCTTGGCGTAGGAGGGCCGAGCTCTCTAAGACGGGTTTTGGGTTCATTGCTCGCCCGGCTCTCTGTGCTGAAAACCTTGAAACCCTTTCCTACGCCCAGGGTCTCTTTTTCTTTTACGCCATTACCATGTAGGCGACTGGAAATACTTGTCGTCAAGACGAATAACAAAGCGCAGCCAAACAGCATAGCAGAGCAGAGGAGGAAAATAAACTATTTGTAGACAAATTTATGAAGAAGTATATAGATTTGGTGACCAACTTTAAATGTTAGTATAAATGTTAGTATAAAAATATGAATACTTAAATTTTGAACAACTAAATAACTCGTTTGAAAGTAAAGAGAAAACATATAGTATCAGTTGAAACTTTTAATTGCTAATACGACTAGAATACAAAATTAGAAATATTGTAAATTTTTTACAATAAAATTCATATTCATTTGGCAAATGCCTAAGAAAAATCTTGTTTTCCAACTATTTCTAATTTATTTAAAGATCTAAAGGTACCGAATATATGGCGAGGAAGGTAATTAATCCCCTTTCGCTGTTAGGCTTTTCTTTTTTAAAGCTTGCAAAGGCTGTTATTTTTAGCAAAGCTTTGTCTGCAGTCAGTTTTCTGCGAAAAGGTTTCAGTTTGGTCTAGGCCTTTGCACTTTTAGCATTGAACGGGAAGAGATTGAGTATTTGTGAGCAAGGAAAATGTGCTGGTTCCTGGTTTGGGCAAACCTGCAGGAAAGTCGAGCTGACGAAGGGAATTTGGAACCCCCTATTTGCTTTGTTACCTTACCCTTTTACCTTCTACTTGCAGCCCGATTCGGTGGTGATGTCCATCAGCGCCAGCGACTTCGACGATGGAAACAACAGTATCGTAGAGTATGAGATCTTGCGGGAGCGCGACTTTCAATATTTCAAAATAGACAAAGAGTCGGGAATCATCTATCTGAAGCGGCCAATTGACAAGCGTCCCGGCCAGTCGTATGCTATAATCGTGCGAGCCTACAACATTGTGCCCGATCCGCCGCAGGATGCACAGATCGAAGTACGAATCCGAGTTGTGGAGTCCTCGATCAAGCCGCCGTCCTTCGTGGATCCCATCGATACGCCCATTTACCTAAAGGAGAACCTGATAAACTTCTCACAGCCGATAGCCACATTGCGGGCAGTTTCCAACATGCCGGACAAGCCGGAGGTTATCTTTGAGCTGAACACCGGCCGGACGGAGCAAACGAACAGCAAGAACACATTCGTGTTTAACCAGATCGGAAACGAGGTAACCATTAGCCTGGGCAAGCAACTGGACTACGAGTCCATCACAGACTACACGCTGACTATGATAGCGCGCAACACACACGAGCTGGGGACGGAGCATCAGATCAAGATCCGTGTGGAGGACGTCAACGATAATATTCCTTACTTCACGGAGGTAAAATCCGGCACGATTCTGGAGAACGAACCGTCGGGCACACCCGTCATGCAAGTGCGTGCTTTTGACATGGACGGTACGGCGGCCAATAACATTGTGTCCTTCGAGCTGGCGGACAACCGAGAGTACTTCACCATCGATCCCAACACGGGCAACATCACTGCGCTCACCACTTTCGATCGCGAGGAGCGTGACTTCTACAACGTTAAAGTTATTGCCAGCGACAACTCGCCCTCGAGCCTGTTCACTAATGGCGAACCGAATCGTGGCCACCAGGTGTTCCGCATCGCCATCGGCGACAAGAACGACCACAAGCCGCATTTCCAGAAGGATAAATATCTGGCGGACAGGCTGCTGGAGGACGCTAATACCAATACCGAAGTGATCGAGGTTAAGGCCGAGGACGAAGACAACGCTTCGCAGATCCTGTACAGCATCGAGAGCGGCAATGTTGGCGATGCCTTTAAGATTGGTCTTAAGACCGGTAAGATTACTGTTAATCAGAAACTGGACTACGAAACGATCACGGAATACGAGTTGAAGGTGCGAGCATTTGATGGCATCTACGATGATTACGCTACGGTTGTGATTAAGATCGAGGATGTGAACGATAATCCGCCAGTTTTCAAGCAAAACTACAGTATAACAATACAGGAAGAGACCATATATGAAAATTGCATCCTAACAGTAGAAGCCTACGATCCAGACATTAAGGACCGCACCGCAGATCAGCATATTGTCTATTCGATCCATCAGAACGAAGCTAACCGCTGGACCATTGACAACAGCGGCTGTCTGCGATTGGTCAAGACGCTGGATCGGGACCCGCCTCATGGCCAAAAGTACTGGCAGGTGCTGATCAAAGCCAATGATGAGGACGGAGTGGGAAGCACGGTCAGCACGGTGAAGGCGGTCACGATCACACTGAAAGACATCAACGACAATGCGCCGTTCCTGATCAATGAAATGCCTGTGGTATGGCAGGAGAACCGAAATCCCGGCAACATTGTCAAGCTGGAGGCCAATGACTATGACGATACCCCGGGTGCAAGTGACTTCACATTCGGCATCGACAGCGAGGCCTCACCGGATGTCAAGACGAAGTTTAGCATTGACGGAGAGTACTTGCACGCCAACGTGCAGTTCGATCGAGAGCAGCAAAAGGAGTACTACATTCCCATTCGAATCAGTGACTCTGGTGTTCCACGGCAGAGTGCAGTGAGCATCCTGCATCTGGTGATTGGCGATGTCAACGATAATGCCATGTCTGAGGGCTCTTCGCGCATCTTCGTCTACAATTATCGGGGAGAAGCGCCTGACACGGACATTGGTCGCGTGTTTGTTGACGATCTGGATGACTGGGATCTGCCGGATAAGAACTTTGAGTGGAAGGACAGCCAGACGCACGAGCAGTTCCGACTGAATCCCAGTACCGGAATGATCACTATGCTGCAGCATACCGGCGAGGGAGAATACTATCTTCAGTTCACCGTCACCGAGGATTCACCGAATTTCATGAGAAATATCGTGGATGCAGATGTCACGGTGGTGGTTAGGGAATTACCAGAGGAGGCGGTGGACAAGAGCGGCAGCATTCGGTTTATCAACGTGACCAAGGAGGAATTTATTGGCGTCCCTCGTGACCCTGTGCCAGATTCTCTTTCCATTAAGGATCGCCTGCAGCTCTCGCTGGCCAAGCTTTTCAACACCTCGGTGTCCAATGTGGACGTCTTCACGGTCCTTCAAAATGAGAACAACACTCTGGACGTGCGTTTCTCCGCTCACGGCTCACCCTATTACGCACCCGAGAAGCTCAACGGAATCGTGGCCCAGAACCAGCAGCATTTGGAGAACGAACTGGATCTGCAGATGCTGATGGTGAACATCGACGAGTGCCTAATCGAGCGTTTCAAGTGTGAGGCCTCCTGCACCAATGAACTCCACAAGAGCTCTGTACCCTACATGATATATTCCAACATAACATCGTTTGTGGGTGTAAATGCCTTTGTTCAGGCGGAGTGCACATGCGAGGCTCCTTTAATCAGTCACTGCTTAAACGGCGGCACAGCGCGGTTTGGAGAGAACGATGTCTGCGACTGCGTTGACGGATTCACCGGGCCGCACTGCGAACTCGTCTCCGTGGCCTTCTACGGCTCTGGATATGCCTTCTATGAGCCCATTTCCGCCTGCGACAACACAAAGATCAGCTTAGAGATCGCGCCTCAGATCGACCAAGGTCTCATCATGTACCTGGGGCCGCTGAACTACAATCCACTGCTGCCACTCACGGACTTCCTGGCTCTGGAGCTGGACGATGGCTATCCGGTGTTGACTGTGGACTATGGCTCTGGTGGAATGCGCATCCGGCATCACCACATCAAGATGCTGGCTGATCACACTTACCACCTTGAGATTATCCTGCAGCGCACCAATATCGAGATGACTGTGAACAACTGCCGGCTGTCCACCTGCCAGACTCTGGGCGCACCGGTGGGACCCAATGAGTTCCTGAACGTGAACGCCCCCCTGCAACTGGGCGGCACTCCGGTGGACCTGAACCAACTGGGACGACAGCTTAACTGGACGCATGTGCCCAGTCAGAAGGGCTTCTTTGGGTGCATCCGCAACCTGACGATCAACGAGAAAACCTACAACCTGGGTATGCCCTCCGTCTTCCGCAACATCGACAGTGGGTGCCAGCAGTCCGTTGCAGTTGCGTTCAGCTTTGGCATCGATCGCAACTTCATTATTGCGATTATTGTCTGCCTGGCGCTGCTGCTGATCATCCTGCTTGCCGTGGTGGTCCAGAAGAAGCAAAAGAATGGATGGCATGAGAAGGATATTGACGACATCCGCGAGACTATCATCAACTACGAAGACGAGGGCGGCGGCGAGCGGGACACGGACTACGATCTGAACGTATTGCGCACACAGCCGTTCTACGAGGAGAAGCTCTACAAGGATCCGCATGCGTTACAATCCAGCATGCGTGATCCCAACGATATACCCGACATAGCCGACTTCCTGGGCGACAAGAAGGAGAACTGCGACCGGGATGTCGGCGCCTTCACAGTGGACGATGTGCGCCACTATGCTTACGAGGGCGACGGTAATTCGGATGGCAGCCTGTCCAGCCTGGCGTCCTGCACCGACGATGGCGATCTCAACTTCGACTACCTGTCCAACTTTGGACCGCGCTTCCGCAAACTGGCCGACATGTACGGCGAGGAGCCCTCGGACACAGACTCCAATGTGGACGACGATCAGGGCTGGCGCATCTAGGACACTGTTCCAGCTGTGGGAAGCCAGACGATGACGTAGAAATTGAAAAGACTTTTTATATGCTAAGAGTTGTACGGATGTTGAATGTGCCGGACAAGGCGACGGCCTAGCCGGACCCAAAGTCGCTTCAAGAGATATATATATAGGTAAACTATATATTATATATATATATATAAATATATTTTTGTCGAGGAGTATTGCAAGGGCTTAGGGGACACGTCTCTGTTTTTGTTTTGTAAATGCAAAAAGTGATCTTGATCTTACGTAAACGAACTATATAATTTATACCTAAAACTAGTGTAGCTAAGCAATGGCGAACAAATCACAAAAGGCAGCAGAATTGTTATTGCTTCGACATATACACAAATAATCAATTACGACCGATATCGAAAACCGAATGTCCGCAAACGAAATATTCCTAGGAAAAATAATTCAAAGGCAGAATGCATTTTTTAATGCATAGCGATGCATATTCCCAACACTAGTTAGTAACTTACTTTACGATTTATGTTTAACTAATGGGCATTACACAGTATAATACGAAGAATTATATCGCGCTAGGGCCTAGACACGACAGAACTTCATTCGAAACTACAAGAAATTAACAAATCAAATCAAATCAAATCAAAGGAGAACTCAAATCGATAAGACAAGTCGGTAAATATAAGCTAAGTTTAATCGTCATCTATGTAGACATGTAATCAATCAATCAGCGTACCATAAGTTCTTAGGGTTGTCTTTTAGTTCATGTATAAACAGCATAACCTTATTTAAACTAAATCGAATCCCGGGAGATATCAGCTCTTCCTGTAACTAGAGAGTAACACGTGTGCAGCTGTATTCATAATAGATATATAAATAAATATATTGAGACATATCGATGTAAGAGAATAATGTTCAATAAATCAATGCGATATCTATTTTTGTAAGTCGTTTTCCGTATTAATACTTAAGGCTCTAAGACGGACATTTTTTACCTGCCAAGGGGAACCAACAGCAAAAAGCTGAACCACATTATTTATATAAAGAATATTTGAAATAATTGTATAATTTACAACAAACGAAAAGCCACACAAACACAATTATTGTGTTTCAATAAAAAACATAATAAAATCGAATGAAATTCTGTGTTAATCACTAGTGGGCGCGATAAGCGATCGACCGGGAAAACTTTTATGTTCTATTGAAGGTGGAATGGTGCCAGACATCTTTGACAGACAGTGTAAGATCTGTGGAGCCCCCCGTTCCCTAAATTTTATTTGAAGTAACGAAGAAATAGTGGCACACATAGTGTTCATATCTACCGTACACATAGGCACACACACAGAGCATACATATAGTCATTGTAAGTCATTGACTGGGGCGTCGGCGAGCGCTACTGTAAATTGGAAACGGAGGAAAAGCGTCATTATCTTATCAGCGGAAAGTAGGTTACGCTTTGCCTTCGGATTCGTTCGGTTTGAACAAATCGATTGCGGCACAAGCCAATGAACGAAATTGGAGCGATTCGATGAGTAAACGGCCATCCGATGGAGGCGAAATTGTGTGTATCTATTGCCGCAGCAGGTGCAGCTGCAGTTGCATTCGCACCGCACCAGTTGTATCTGTATCTGATCGCTGAGAAATGAATTTAGATTTGCATGGAGCACTCAAGGATATGCCTTTCCCTCCAGATGGATGCGTTGCAGCTGCTGTTTGCAGATCAGTGTGTATGTATAACGTATTTATTGTCTTATTTATGCCATCATTACCATCTTTCTTTCTATCTTTTATTTTTTCCAAACAGAAGTTCAACGAGAGTCTATAAGAGTTCACAGAAATAACATTTCAATTGACTCTTCAAACATATCAACATTTTGAAAGCCCGCAAACCGTAAATCAACTTGAAACTGAAAACAATTCAAAAAGGGATCAGCGTGTATATATGTCAAGGGCCCATCAAATATTCAAATTTCAAATCAATTAAATGCATTCTCAAGTGCAACAACTTGTGTGGAAGCCTAAAGCATTTGGAAAATATATAAGAAAACCAAAAATTTCTTGGTATCGTAAGGAGTACCTTTCGGAAATGCCCAAAACAGAAAAAATCGAACCGACGAACGACGACAGATGTCTTTTCATTTTTCGAGTTTCATCTTGGATTCCTGCAGAAAAAATGGCAAGAAATTTGTGCCGGACATGCCGACGTGAGGTTTCACCGGCGGCACCATGTGGCTCTGGGTCGAGAATCCAGAGGAAGCGACGAGGGCACACAAAATAAAATCAGCAAAAAAGCAAGAAAAAGAAGAAATGGTTGAGTAATCAAATAACCTCTTCTGGCTACCTGCGCAGCTGCAGCTGCCAGCACTCTCTCCTCCTCAGGTGTGTATGGGTCGGTTCTAAACCCAGCGGATGGATTATCATGGCAGCAGAAAAGAATCAACAGATGAAGCAGGGCCCGAAAAAAACCCAAGCCACTCTGATGAGAGGCATCGAGTTGAGTTCCCGCGCTGCTACCTGTGCTCACACACACCTCGGAAGGTGGATACTCTCCCGCTCAGTGGCCGATACAGGTAAGTATTTAGATAAACTCACCTTGACGCCGACGCTGCAGTTCTCGCCCCGCTCTCAGACATCGCTCAGATACTCGGGCCAGCCGAGCTCAGATACTCACCCATACCGAGGCATTTTTTAACGGAAAAATGAAAGCAAATCTTTGTAGCGAACTTGGCTTGTTGGCTGGCTTGCTGGCCTGAGGTAAAAACCAGTATTTCCAGAACGGCTCCCATCAAGGTATGTATCTGTTGGTTGTGTCTCTCTTTTGGCCACTCTCTTGCAGATTCGTTTGAGCTCAGATCGTGAACTCGCTGTTTGAGTTTAAGTTGCGGTCTCAACGCTCCTATCACTCCACTCAAAGTCTGAACTTATTGAGCCAAAGGATAAGGTTCTCTGAGACAGCCAGATGTAAACTACTTAGGTACAAAATACATTTAACTACATATCTCTCAATATTCACTTGAGTATTATCAAATATTTCCAGAATACCTCCATCCGCCACAAAGTATCTGTTCTCACAAATTAATCTTAAAAGTCTATAGAAATGGAATGCTTCAAATTAATGCCACAATTAATTTAAAACTTTTAAGAAAAATGAACTCTGTGACTAATAGTTATGAATTCTTCGAGTGAGGAACCTTGATCTTGTATCTGCCTGAATACGCATTCACTCCACTCATTTTCTATCTACTCATTCACTCATTCCTTCATGCACGAATCGAACGATACACCCAGAGTATTTTTTTGCAGAAAAACGAAAGAGGAACGAAAAATATACAAATACTTAGACAGATGCAGATGGATTCGTATTGATGGGGCACGTCTTGGCGTTTTACTACCTGTTGATGGGGGAAGCTGCTGCAGCCAAGGCCTCGCATTGATTAATTACAGTGGAACGTACTGAGTGGGGACGAGGGAATGTCCACGGATGAACAGTCGAATGCAAGACGGCCAAGATGCTTATTAACACTCGCTGCCTATTCATCACGGTTTCAATTACCCAACCAGACCAGACAGACCGACTACCAAGATGGGCATTAAGATGAACTATAGAAGAAGTCATTGCCACTAAACATCGATAATATTTACCAGTTATTTTTAGATTGTTCTATTAGTTTCTTGCTTGGGTTCTAGCTACTACTTCAATAAGTGGTTCAGAGTCTCTAAATTTTAAACTCAAACTCTGCAAAGTTTGCAAATCTTTCTCTCAAGATATTTTCGGGATGAGTGCCAAGTAATATAGAAAACTCCGCCCATTTCCGTGATGGTGCTGTGGGGTCTGCGTAAATTTGTCTCTGGGAAATTATATAGATTTCAGTTGATCTCGACTTCTTTTTTTGCAAATTAATTCCGCCCTCATCCGCCAGCAATTACAACCTGTTTCCCGTGACCCCAACTGTTTGGGGTTTGACCATACCACCGACCGTTCTCCTCCAATGAGCCCATGAGAAATTTCGCCGCTGTTTGGATGTTTGGATCTCGTCGGAATATGCACTTACATGATATATTATATAGCGACCGCAAAACGGGTTCCCTGCCCAGGCAGCCCCATGTAGGGCACTAATAACTCTATGAAGTCGCGTACGTGGCTTCTGTGCTAAAACGCTTATTAGCTGCCCGGCGATCCTCATCCTCCGCCACTCGGAATGCATAATGATGAGGCCGTCGCTCATAAAGGGAAATTTTCGAAAAGAAGTCGATAAAGTGCTGACCATCGGGACGTGCCCGGCTGCAGTCGTTCCTCGCCGGTTATCGATGCCCGGCACGTACTCGCGCCTGATTTGTGGCGACCAGCAGGGATCGCCAACACTGGTGGCAGGAATAACAGGCCTGGATAGGACAAGGCAAGGTGGTTACCAGCGTGTCCAACCGAAAAGCGAAATTCCCGGAATGCAGAAACGAGCGAAAAAATAACAAACATGAGGTGAGCAAATTCACACTTAGCCACAGACTCAGACTCAGACTCAGCCCGAGACTCAGACCTATTCTCCTTGCGTCTGGCCTCGTCTTGGTGTTTCTGTGCAGGTGCTTTGTCTCCTCCAATGCCCCATTCCAACGCCGGTTTGAAAGCTGAAACACTTTGGAAAAAATATTGCAATCAAAGCAGAAAATATGGTCTTAAACTAGTTTCGCCACGTTTTCGCTGAAATTGAAACCAGCGCTTGACTTGACACTAACACTGGCCAAATGCCCGATATGGCAAAACAGTCTAAACAAAAACAGAGAGTGAGACCAACAACCAAAAAAAAGGAGAGAAGAAAGCATAGATTGTTAATATTATAAGACTATATAGTATTTAATTAATAAATACCTTGTTAACATAGGTTCTCTTAAACCATAAATCTCAAGGATCTCCTCCTACCTTTTGCTAGGTCACTTGTACATGGTTTTAATTAACTTTGGCAAAAATCTCATTGTCAATACCCACTCCCATAAATTTCCTATATACAACATATACATTCGAATATAGCAAACTATCAGTCCCTCACAATCTAATCGATTGGCTTTGTGTTGCAAGCCCACAAAACCGAACATATTGCTCTGGGAAGGCACATTCGTCGGGCATGACATAATATTTGATAGGAACCAAAACGGAAACCAACTGACAAGATCTCGGGGTGAACTCAGGCCGTAAAACCCATTAACAGGGTTACATATTTTGCTTTAGTACCACTATTTTTAGTAGCTTGCCCAAAAACAAAATCACGAAACCCCCGAAATGCTGCCGGGAAAAGGGAACTAAGGGAGTATAGGAGTATGGGTTAAGTATGCCTGAAATATATATACATATTTTACCGCAGAAGGGTGGCACTACGGCAAAAACAAGCAAACAAAACAATAGGGCAAAACTCGAATGGGGGGACAGCAGCGACAACAATAAAATTAAAATGAAACTTCGCTGGAAGCCCTACAAGTGAAATATGACCCTAATACAAATGTGCGACCGAGTGCGCGGGCGGTGCAATCGGAGCAATCAACCCCTCCTGCAGACCTCGATCCTGGCGGAGAGAACAACCCCCGGCAACGCGGACAAAGGTGAATTGTTCCAATGCCCAATGGGTTCCGAAACGATCCAAGAGTTGATAAGCACCATATGAAATATATGGAATGCAATGCATTTCATTCATTTGCTCGTAGCTTCAAAATTCCGGGCGAGTGAGCTTGTTACCTATCCATTCTTGTTTGCAGATTGCACGATGTATGCGCTAGATAATGGATTTCTGTGTGCGACCATCCATCCATTCCATTCTTTGATAAATGGCGCGCTTCCCCAAATCTCCAAGCATAAATATTTACTATATCTGTATATACATAGATATATATAAAATTTGCAAACACTGCAGAAAAGTACTTCGGGCAGAAGTATGATATTTGAGACTGATACACTACGA